AAACAGGAGGCAGCGCTCGCTGAGAAAAACAATGGAAAAGGACGTATTTCGGCCACTGTAAAGAGGGTCGTGATGACTTTAGAAAAATTATTATTGATACCTCACCCCCCCCCCTTAATTGGCCACGACAAAACCACTATATTACTATTTCTTATAGCTGATTGTAGTAATTGTTAGGAGAGGACCCACACTCGTTCAATGGTACATCTAGAAAAAATACGTTGTGAAGGGAGCCGTACGTAAACAGAAAATCTGGGAAGGAGCGCATCTATTCAAAATTTTACACAATGCGATGCCGTGCCCTGCCTGAAGGCCTGAAGACGAGCGGCCAATGACGTCCTTCTCTTACTCCGCCCGCCCGGCACTCTCGAACGGTCCCTTTAAAAGGGTCATAAAATTACAGAGGCTAAGGTGATTTAAGTTAGACATTGTTTCGCCCTAAAGGGCAGTATCAAGTCCAGCACCTATTGGCAATACCACGAAATGTAAGCACAGTGAAGTGAGACTGCATGGAAACAAAAGCCGATTATGAAGTGAATCACACGGGGAATCACTGACTAGGAGGAATAGTTATCTTTCAACGACCCAATAAAATGATGCCAGTTTACGACCATTGGGTGGCGGCTCATTGAAGCGCTATCGCACAGTGCAGCTCCACCACGTTGCCATGTTTCACTACGCTTTACCCTGCCTTTTAGGCATAGCAGGTACTTTTCTGAACTTCTTTCATCATGTCATTCCAAGCTATTAGGACTATTTGTCACAGGTTATGCGTTTGCTCTGGACTGTGACAGCTACCTTTTCTGCCAGAATAACCTGAACAATGCCCTCAATCTCACCAATCCACAGCCGTGGTCCGATCCGGAAGGGTTCCGGCACAAGGTAAGTCCTGCTAAGTCCAGTGTTTCCAGCATAAAAATAATCAGAAGACCTTTCAGATAGAGGGGTACTACCAAAACCAAGGCATTACTGGACTACGGACAGTTTGCAAGTGAGTTGCTTCAATACTTCTTCATTGCCTTATCACCGCGAGAATGCTTCTTCGAAGGGTTTCGAAATATCGATTACATCCGGGGCACGTCCTGCCATTAGGGGTAAATTTTGTAAAATACGACCCCCTCTCAAAAATAGCCTCTGGTACGACCCTCCTTCCTCATCCCCATCCCTCCTCTTTCCCGGAAAATTCTTCAGTTTTTCTCCAAAAAGCAACCGCAGAGCAGAGGAGGGGGTAGGAGGAAGGGGGTGGCATTTAGCACACGCTAAAATGAAACTGGGAAAGCTGAGGAAAGTCAACAACCAGAAACAGTTTTCATTCAGAGGCTCATACAACCCTCCCCCTCTCCCTCCGGGGACCAATATACGACCCCATCGCGGAAGGGAATCGCATTGTACGTGTCCTAGCTGCATTGCTGTAACTCCTCGATACATTCTAAGCTGAAAGAGGAAGAGCTGGTTGTAGAGCGTTTAGGACTTCTGGCATGCGCCATGCATTCTTTTTTTTTTTTTTTTTTTTTGTTTTTTTTTGAGCTTCGCTATTAAATCACGGAATCATTTCTCAAGCGAAAGGCGCAAGTCGGCCTACTGTTTCTTTTATTTGTCCCGATCCATCCCTCCTGATACGCCCTCCACCCGCAGCGGAAAAGACTGGAAAGTGAATGAGGTTAAAAGAACCTTAGAGCTAGTCCGGTGGCCCATCACTTTTGTAGCCGGTCGCATACCCCCAAGTCACAGGTCTAGCTGTGAAAAGTCCATTTGAAAGGTTCGATAATTTTTTCTTCCTGCGCAGTGAATTTCAACCGAAATCTTCAAATAAGACGGCAACTACTCGCTTATCTTGTAACGAGAACAAACGATTTTTTGTAGTATTTTCTCCGCGCAACTAATCTCATTGTGAAAACATGAAAAACGTAAAGCCTCTTTACCACTGATTGAGGAACTAGGTGGCAGTGTTGGGGGGGGGGGGGACAGACTCATTGTCAGTGCAAAAAGTCAATAACGTGCTTACGCCATGCAAGCAGCTTGATCTGTTTCGTTACTCAGGGCCTACTAAAACGAAAATGACACGACTTGACCACCTGAGATATTGGAAAACTGGAAAGAAAATCAAAAGCACTAGCGCTAAACTGCGTTTATACTTCGAAACTTGAGCGGCAGCCGCGCGATCTGGGAATAGCGAGGCAATGACGCACTGTGCTCTACCGCTAACGGGTGGACCGCTGCAAATGCAAATCCGATCACGTGCAAGGTAGAACTCAGGGCACGTATTCGGCGGCTGGGAATATTTTATTAAATACGACCTTCTCCGGAGTTTTCTTTTCCGGTACGGCCCCACCCGACACCCCTTGAACAACCGACCACCATCACCCCGCCGTCGAGCGGGTGTGGGGAGACACTTCTAATCCAATGCACATCCAGGGTCATTAGTTGCGGATTTTGGTCGGATCGGTACGACCTCCCCTTTTTTAGAGGGTTGGTACGACCCCCCCCCTGATCCCTCCTAATCGAGCTGCCGAGCGGAGGAGGGTATAGCACATTTGAAGCGGGAAAAACCGCGAAGAGAATACGACCTCCCCCCTTTACAACTTCCGTGAAATAAGAAAACGGACTGTTGAAAAAAATTTTCTCAGCCCAAATACGACTCCCTCCCCCCGTTAGGAAATCCCCATCAACGATGTGGCCTTTGATCATTGGTAAACTGGTCAATATCTACTGCACCTGAAACGGGAAACCAACAAGTAAACAATCCGAAAATCATTCTCTCTGGCCAAATATTACCCACGATGAAAGTCGCACGACTGAATAGGTCGTGTCGCGAAGTATGAACGCGGCCTCAGCACTTCCATCGTGGTTGGGAAGCTTGATCTTTTTGGGCGCACTGTTCGTTGGACCTTGGACCGAAAAGTTGGGGAATCCTTCGAACAGCAGGCTAATTGTCTCAGATTTAGGACACCCCGAGAACTCTTTCGCCGATCCTATAATATTTCACTACGACTTATGTTTTCTGGTAGTCAAGCATACCCTGAAATCCTTTTAGGGCGTTCCGACAGTTCAAAGGATGTATGGGAGCGGACTACATGTCCTGCGTAAATCCGGGACACTTTGTTACCGCTGGAGTACCGATCTTCGAGTCCTACCAGTTCGTTAGTGTCTTCAACCAAATGCATTACGTCTGTGGTGGAGGATTTCAGAGTGAGTTCAGGTGCTCTGCTTTCTTTCGTGCTACCGTATTATGCTCTGAGTAATATTGTACTCGAATTTGTTGTTCCAGTTTACATGAATAATGACGACTGTATGTCCAAAGCTTGGAGTGGAAGCACCGGAGAGCAGCTGAACGCGTGTCGGTATAAGTTTGAGAAAGGTAGCGATGGGAATGCGGAAAATGCTGATGTGGTTAAAAGGTAAGTGCTCCCTAAAACATATTCTCAGGGCCAAATCGGCGCACCGCTGGAAGCCCCACCATTGAAGTTGAGAAAAGGAAGAAAGCTGTACAGTCTCCTTCGCCTGGGGATGCTAAGGCGCCGCATTCAAAAGATGTGCGCTATTTTTGGCACGGCGCCAGACCCCGCCCCGCCCCCTTTTCCTCCGATTATGGTCGATTGCAAGCTTCCACACGAGAGCGGATTGGCGCCTCGCCAAACCCTTCCTACTCGTCCTCTGCAACAAAGAAGGCTGTATGTCCGTTTAACTGTTTTTGAATGCAAGAATCACGAACTGGCTGACGGCGTGCAAAGGATTTTTTTATGGAACGCATCTTTAGGGCCTCTCTGCCTCTTGCCACTTGATTCTAGACAAGGCTTTCAGTGCCGTTCAGGTCAGGGGTGGGAGCATCTGCCCACTTTCACTAGCTATTAGGTTGTCCGGAAAGTTCTCAGCGTTTTGGGTGTTTCACTTTAAACGATCGTAACTTTTTTAATACTCATCGGATTTAATCGAAATAGGCACCATTCGAATCAGCACACTTTTGCCAATGTGACAGCAGTCGAGAAATCCCATCAAAGTAAAAACTGGGTGGTCGAAAATTCACGAAATCACGAAGGCTTTTTTGCCTGGTCCTGATTGATGAAGTATTTTCCAGCAAGGGAGTTCTGAAAATGTTAGAAAAGGTGATAGTCGGTTGGCGAAAGGTCTGGAATATGGTGGGTGTGGTAGAACTTCAACCCCCAATTCGTTCAATTTATGGATAGTGATTTGTGAAACGTGTGGGCGGGCGTTGTCATGCAAAAGAATCGGACCCTTTCTTTTGATAAGTGTTGGCTGCATCTGACAAAATTTTCGGTACAATTTCGTCGATTTCTTCACAGTAGGGTTCTGCTGTGATGGTTTGGCCTGGTGATAAAAAGTTATAGTGGATCACACCAGCCGATGACCACCAAGCCGTGACCAGAATCTTTTTTTCGTGAGGCTTTGAAAAATTACCTCGGTGGTTCGTCGAAATCCAACCACTGTCCGGAACGTCTCCTGTTATCATACATGACCCATTTTTCATCACAGGTGACAATTCGGCCCAAAAACAGGTCGTTTCTGCTGCGCAAAAGCAATGCAGAAGGAACCTCGAGACGTGCCGATTCCTGCCGGTCACTCCGATTGTGGGGCACCCACGGGGCGTCAGAACAATTTTAAGAGTTTTTTCACCTTCCCAATGCGTTCCAGACCATCTGCAACAGTGGATTTGCCAACGCCTAGCTTTTCTGCAATCTCTCGAACTGTTTGGGATGGGTCAGCCTTCAAAATCCCCCTAAAATCCTCGTCAGATATTGCTTTAGGTCGACCGCTATGAGGTTCATCTTCAAGGCTGAAATCTCCAGAATTTGTTGAGCCATTGCCGCACAGTGCTTTCTCTAGCACTATTGGGCCCCCACCTGCATTAATTTGTTGAGCTGTTTCGATCAGGGCACAGCATTCGATGGGGATTTTGGTCGAGCCTGTACGACCCCCCCTTTTTTGGGGGTTCGGTACGACCCCCCCCTTTTTTGCCGTTCGGTTTTTTTCGCCTTAAATGAAACTATGAAACGCCCACTATGAAATTCTACTTGTATGAAGGTGCCCATACTAAATGGACGACTTGAAGTCATGACATAATAGAACAATACAGAGATGATTGCAAACAAAAAACGGTACAATCGTATTTATGAAAAACTCGTATGATCCGCCAGCAATTTTCTATGATGAACTTCTTCGATGGCCGTTTTGAAACACACATGGTAATAATAACGATGTATCGCGATTAAATTCAATGAGCATTCGTTAACCTGAGGTGGAACTCCCTCTCTGGGAGCGGCCATCAGCGACCACAGTGTTAACAACGTCTATTCCCAAGATTGAGACGAGGAAAAGAGAAAGTTAGGCTTGTCTCACTACGTAACAGTTATACAAACCGCCGTAAAAATGCATTACCCGATTATTGGAGTACGGTAGCAGAAGCGCAGTACCCTCGTCATCCGGGCAGTTGATTAGGGCGGTCGTCAACGGGCCGCAGCGCGTGCCAGGAACTATTTGCTTTTTCCAGACTAATTTAGTCATTTTTTCCAACTTTTCACTGTTTTGGCTACTTTTTCCCAGATTAGCAGCTCCTTATCTTCACAAGGTGGAAAAAATGACTAAATTAGCCTGGAAAAGCAAATAGTTCCTGGCACGCGCTGCGGCCCGTTGACGACCGCCCTAATCAACTGCCCGGATGACGAGGTTAATTGCCGGCTGCTGACAGGAGATTATTCGGCAATTTTAGCCATGGAGCGAGAATTTCCAGCTGAGTTAGGTGTCTTTAAAGGACCATAACTTCCTCAAAAGCGGACCTGTGGGGAAGAGGAGACCGTACTCGTGTAGAGGAAGGTTTGCCACTTCTAAAGATACTAAAACGTTTATGAACGTCGCAAAAATCACAGAGAAATCTGCCATAGGGATTCGTTGGGGAGTGGTTTCAACCGAACAGGTTTGAATCAATATATTTTTTTTGTAACTCAACATTTCACAAATCTGAGAATGGTTTCGAGTGTTTGAAGATTTTCTCTTTCTAAAAACCTCTTGAACTGTTTCTGAAGCTCTCGGGATTCATGAGATCTCGCTATGGGGGGATTTCTTGAGGAACACTCCCAGCTGCGCGAAAAACCCGTTTCCTGTGTACCGTTTCAAGTGAGCGTGTTCGAATAACCAGGAACGCATGAAAACGTATCCTGTGGTGGAGCAGGAGCAGAATATGGTTCCTTAGCGCGATCACGAACTCTGCGCGGCCCTCAGTGCGCAGGTCTTTGGATGCGCCGCGCACTGAGGGCCGCGCAGAGGTGATGGGATGGTGCAACTTGTGCGTAATGTCTGTTCACAATCGGTCAAATGTGTCTATAAGGTATAGCGGCAGGTCCACGCGCGAGCCCTGTGCCAACTTGTTTACAGTGGTTTTCCGTTTGCCTATGAACTGGAACATTGTCCCTGTCGACGCCTTTCAGATTCGTTGCCTCCCCAATCGCTGGACTCCGATAAGGAGCACAGCTGCTGAAAACGTCTGATATGAACGATATGGTAGTCCTGTCGCTTGTCGAGAAAAAACAGGTTGGCTCAGCGCCAAGCGCGACCGCGGACACGCCATATCATTGGCAGCGAACCAGAGTTTGAGTTGTACTGTTTAGTCACCAACGGACTTACGAGATAATGTCGACTTATTAATATTTGCAGTTATTTCGGATTAGTTTGATGAATGAAAGTTTTGTACTTTTTTGCATATCCGAGTTCTCTACAAAGCAAGTTCGTTGTACAGGACTCAGCACATTGACAATTTGCGCTGCTCGTTACTGGCTGCCGCACTCACTACGACCCCCCCCTCTCCTGGCGGCCAAATACGACCCCCCTGTTGGGGATTCCCCAACCAACGATGTGCCCTGGTTTCGATTGCGGATTGCCCCAATTTATAGTCGAAGAAAAAAATCGTCCGAAGTGCTCTTTTCACATGCTTGAAAAAATCTTGAAAAAGGGGGTTTATCAAGCAATGGTGAAACGGCAATTATACCATCAGATAGCGCAAGAAATTCTCTACAGGATGTGCTACTGAGAAGCAAGGCAGAATGAGTTTTTAATCAGCAGTGAATGTACAAAAAATAGGTGCACAAAACGCTGAGAACTTTCCGGACAACCTAATACTTTGTTAGTTTATGTTTATTAATCAGGTCTCATTTGGGTACACCCGCAAGGTCCATAAAAGAGCGCCAAGAGCTACTTTGTTCAGTGGGGTTTGCAAATCTTCACAAGATGGTCTGTACAAGCTTCGCCGAGTACCTAGTTAGTTCCATCAAGCCGAACTACACCACAGTTCTCCTGTGGACTCAAAAAATCTCCCCGCTTCGGTGGAGGACTAACTTGGCTCGTTTGTCGACGGGGGGGAGGGGCATTTCCGTACTACCACGTTTTACAAATCTCACCCTGGTAAAACTTGTGAACCCTTGTGAAGCTGGTGCAAGATCGTCTAGCCACCATCCTAAAACGTGTCAACTCGAGAAAAGGCTACCTAGATGGGTCGGCACATCTATGGAAAGCAGAATGCCCCCCCCCCCGTCGACAAACTGCGCCGACTAACTTTGTACAATTCAGCTTGGCCAACACTTACGTGTCATGTTTCGAAGAACAATTTCAAGAAGTCTGTGGTGTGAATTCCCGTGACTCTCAGTTCTGGGGCTGTGAATATGCTCGCGTCAATGTATTCACTCGCTTTCCTCAGAGTAACGTCGACTGCGTCTGTGAGTTCCATTTCTTCACGATGAATTACAAGTTTAGAAAAACAGACGGGATACAGTATCCTAGACTGCGCGTGGGATTGAGTGCGTTGGAGCAGCAAGTGCGCACAGTACTACTCAGTTCTCGCCTAAGCACCTGTGAAGAGCGACTAGCATTGCCTTTCACTTCCTTGCTTCTTTCTTGGATGGTTAACTAAACCAGCTTACGGTATGCCTAATTGTGCGCGTTCCCAGGGACGGCACATTTAATTACACGCGCAATTTTCGAGGGCACTGTATACTGCTTATTGTGATCTTGTTTTCTTCACAGGGCACATCTTTGTTGGGGAATCCCCAATAGGGGGGGGTCGTATTTGGCCGCCAGGAGAGGGGGTCGTATTTGGGCTGGGAAAAATTTATTTTGATAGTTGATTTTTCTCGCTTCGGACGTTGTAAAGGGGGGGGGGTCGTATTTACGCTTTGGCATTGTCGGAGCAGTGGTTGACTTTTTGTGATTTTCCTACTTCATGTGTACATACCTCCCCTCTCCCCCCCCCCCTCCTCCCCGCTGGACGGCTCGATTCGATGAGGAAGGACAGAGGGCCATAGGGCCAGAGGGGGGGGACCAACTCTCAAAAAAAGGGGTCGTACAGACTTGACTAAAATCCCCAACCAATGATGTGCCCTGTTTCTTCAGCTCTTTACTTTGACTTCCTTTAATAAACTTGCTGAATTGCAGTACCCTACGGAGGCGGCAACATTGGATGATATAAGAACAGACACCTCACTATTCTGTATTCATAGCATCATGAAGAATTCTACCTTGTTCGAATTTAAAGATGATATTTGATAAATTGTACGTATTTGGTGCATATTGATTGTTTCTCGGAACTTTACAACTTCTCTTCCTAAGAAATTAAGCCTATTGAAACAATTTCTGATGAGAGATGAACTCTCGAATGTGTTTAGAAAAATCTTCCATAGTATGAAAACCACGGCACACCCTGCCGTTGGAGAAAATTTTTATAAAATAGGTCTCCTCCTCTCCCATCCCAACCCCATCCCCTACCTGCTATACATATTCCTGAATTTTCCACCTTCTGAAGCTCCTTCCCGGGGCGTTTCCAAATCCCTCGGCTTTTTGCCCAGGAACTTGCCGTCAGCGTGTTTTTTACGTTACTTGCAGATACCTGAGATAAATACTTGCAACGCAGCGGAAAAGTGGATAGGCCGCCGATGGGAATATATAGCGACACTATGAGCAGAGCAAACTCTGAGAAAATCAACAATCGAGATAAGTTTTCTCAATGCAAATAGGCCTCCTGCAAATGCAATCCTCCTTGGTTAGGATCCCTAACTTACACGGTGCCTGATGAAAATGCATGCTCCCTTGACCCCAGTCCGCGATCCAAAGCCGCTTCAAACAACGTGAGCAAAAAAATGTTCACAACTTCATGGGCTTTTCTCTGGCCACGTAACGACATATTCCGCATTGATTGTTTGGGCGGAATGAGGATCCCTGTTGCGTACCATCCTTCCTATTCTCATTTGTCGAGCCGCTTTCGAGGCAATAAAGGAAGAAGACGAAGTGGGGAAAATGCACAGGGTTCACTACGCCTCCGCCCACATACTTGGTCGGTGGACGTGTCTTTGACTAAAGAAGCACAAAAGCTGTTTCTCGTTGGGAGTTACCTAGAAGGAATTAACAGCGGATAGTCGGTCTTCGAAGTGAACCTCGAGCTGCCCATATTTGAAAAAGTCATCCGCAGCCCTGGAACGAGAGAGACCTGAGTCTCTACCATCAGTTTTTACTATTCATTTGTTCTTATCACTGGAATCAGTCGTGACGTGTCAGCGGCGGGTGGGTTTTGGTGAGGCGCCGGGATTTTTTTTCCATCACTCGTTGAACGCTCCAGGTCTCGAAGGTCAATGGAAGAGGGGCTCGCACTGCGCCAGATTCGTCCCCATTCCCTCCTGGCTTCACGATTAATGGCTGTGGGGGATAGAGAAAGGGAGAGAAGGAGAGAGCAATATGATTCGTCAAAGGAGCAGCATATCTTGATCGGATGGCGGGAGACAGCTGCAGAAAAGAGGGTCCCCATAGGAAGGGTGCACACTTGTTTGACTGTTCCCGCCACCACTCATGCTAGGAGAAAACATGAAAACGCACTTCGATCGATGTCACCCGCACGTTTGAAAGGGTTCAGATTCCTGTGCGGACTATGAGAATTCATTTGCGTTGCCGTGGCCTAATAAAATGGTCCACCAGGGATGATTAAGGTTCGTAGCTTGATATCACCGCAATCCGATGAGGCGGTGTCAGTAGGCGTGAAATTAGCCCACCCCGACTGGGTTTTCTACCAACTGTGGCCATAGAGAACAACCAATGGTAGGAAACGCCACGGACAGGCTCATCCACGCCTCCTGATTCCGTCCAATCGAATCGGTATGCTATTAGTTGTTCCGACCAGGCACGCGTATGTGGTTCATTCATACACTGATTGATTGACCATCGATTTATCGGTTTTTCACAACAAGCTGAGAATATGTGTACACAGTGTAGATAGTTATAAGTGTGCATTTCACGGCTATGGATCAGCACCTTGTTGACAGGCTTTGGACATAAATACAGTACGAGATGAATTTTATCTACACAGATTGAGATTAGGAATGGCATGGCGCGACTTCACTGGCGCTATTGTCGGCGATTGTGCGAAAGAAAATGGGCCATGAAGAAAAAATACGTATCGATCAGGGCCATCAGCCGTTTCCTAGCATTGATTGAACCTTTTCATGTTGACATCTTCAGTTGGGGTTCATTTAAGGTGCACACCAAGGAGACTAATGTCTCCTTCGATCGATAACTTATTGATTTGATTGCATGGAATACGTTGATCGAATGTTGCAAACGGACAGTCGTTGACGAGCATCTGAAATAATAATCAAGAACAAAATAGATTGGTGGGGTATGTGACAAGAGAATCGTAGCCGCGCTGATGGCGTCGCGTGCGACGTCGCGCCCGCAAATGACGATGGTTCCAGGTAGTAGATGGCGACAACAGGCAATTCAGAACCGAAAATAGTCATGAATGTCTACGATGACGGGGTCTACATGAAGTCCGGTGCTCCAATCGACAGGTTAACACGAGTTAAGAAAACGCCGCTCCCATCGCCGCGAGCGGCAAATTACGATTCTCTTGCCCGTCTCCCAGTCTGGTGTGATAAATCCAATAAATCAATAACGAGTTAATAAACAGTAATCAAATAAAAGAGTCAAAAATTGCTTGGGATCTCAGCGCTATCATATCGGTTGGAAGACAAAGGATGCCGACGCAGCTATTGACTGGACCCGCAGGATTGCGTCAGGTAATCGACTTTTATTCACTTTCTTCTTAAAGTATTCAACAGAATCGAGTGGGCGGAGACTTCCAACCAGTGTTCCTTCCTCACTGTTACCTCCCCGTCTTCGGCGGTTCAGGAGGAGGGAAGCACCAATGAAAAAGGAACAATAGCCAGTTTGCGCTAGGGTCTCCGCCCCTCCGATCACCGCGGAATGTGTCATTAGGGTATCCAATTTTCCTATATACTTTATTTCAGTACCCAGTCCCGGTACAGCAAGGGAGCTGAGTTCGACCCCAGTTTTGGGTGGGATTGGTGATCGATAAACCGAGCCACAGTACGGCAGCGCCTCGGTCGCGCGCCCGACGCGATCGATGCGCATGCTTTCGACTGCATCGATTGCGTCGAACGCGCGACCGAAGGCGCTGCCGTCGTGAAGTCTGAATGCTGCCTACAGGAAACGTCGCACTTCGGCTTGGGAGGGGGCATTTTAGTTGCACATTGTCGTGTTCATGCACCGGAGAAGTTGACAGCTATTTTTTACAAGGGATGACAAGCAGTTCCTACAAGTTTTTACTGGTATCGCTTTGTGGCTTCAAAAGCTTCTACAATTCTCCACCAGACGGTTTGACACGACGATGGGAGTAGAAGTGCAGAATGCCCCCACCTCGCGCCGAGGTGCTCCAGGGAAGCCAATACCAACCTCGAATTTATTTTCGCTACAATAAATCAGCAGATCGAATGTTTGTTTCCTTTTGAATGGGAATCCCTGATCAGCGCCGATTCGTTCCTCAGGTCCCCATCGATCATTCAATCGAGACGTACGAAGCACTTTCTGCAATCACACAACTGGTAGTCGTTTCTTTTTATACATATGACTTAAGAACGAGAAATGCCGTCGCATGTAGAACCAGTCTGCGAAAACATTCTTAACAGTTTCACGAAGAAAAACTCACTTTCGTGGGGAATGCAGCCTTGATTCTACACGCCAATTCACCGTTAGCATGAAAATCAATCAAGAACTCTTTAGCACCTTTTGGGTACCAAACCAGACACGAATAATCGCCGACCCGAATAGAAGTTGCCTGGGATATCAGCTGCATACGGTACACTCTAAAATATACATAACTTTTGATTAAAAAGGTAGTTGTAGAAAAACTTCCAGCTGCGTTCTGAAGCAACTATCACCGCCTAGAGGCCCTCTTCGGCTAAGGAGGGGCACCTTACCAGTTCCCATACCGCGAAATTTTAGTGCTTGTGAAATACCAGCTTGTAAGAACCTGTAAAACTCTTGTAAAATGAATTAGGACTCATATCAGTTTACAGGAGTTCACAGGCGTCACCGAGGTGAGGAAATTGATGAAAGCAGAATGCAAACCACGCAAGTCCCCCCCCCTCAGAGCCCCCCTCCTACTTCGTCCCCGCAGCGCGGCGTTGCGATTTAGCGTAAACTTCAAATCGAACGTGCTAAAAATGAGCAGAGTTTAGCTTACGTTGAAGGCCGTTGCGCGTAAATCCCACCAAGATGAGTGAGATTAATATGCCTGCAGACGGAATTTGCGACCCGCTAAGCAAGGCGTTGCCATAATCATTTCAAGGAGATGCCTTTATAAGGGGCCCTATCAAGTCAACAGACATACCGACGCCAAAAGCCAGCCACGCCCGCCCGCACCACAAAACGGACGACCATTTTTGACGGCTCGTATGTCATTTGCTAAGCAGTTGCCACTATGTGCAGCGTACCTTCGGTAGGGGTTTATGGCAAGATACCTACGGGTTGAAACTCGTTCCAAAATTGATTTACACATTGAGAACTGGAAGTCTTCTTCTCAGATTTTTGAACCGTGTTCACTCCGTTCTTGTCGCTTTCCCCCTCCTAATGGTAGCCCCTAACTAGCGCATTTTGACACAGTACCAAAATCATCGTGCCAACTGCCTTGATACTCGTCTATTGATCAGCGGTAATATACAGAAATGTAATCGGATAGTGAAAATCTTACATAGAACTTCCCCTCCCACGAGACTCCATAGAGCAATACATCACCGTTCACGTAGACATGTGAGATATTGTTCATTGGGACGTAGTGGGCAAATTTCGCCACCAGACGATGCTCACACGTAGTACTCTAGAGAAACAACGAAATACTCCAAGAGATTCTGTGAAGCATATAAGCATGCTGCGGTTCGAATACGTGGGCGTGCAGGGAGGCTGCTTTTGGCACGCGTACCAGCCCTTTTTCCACCATTTTCTTTGCTGGCTTTGCTCGCTCCAGTCGAACGGTGGATGAACGGTGCTCGCGGGGCCATTCCGGCCTTCCCCCGCGCCCGATGAACACGGCAGCGAACGGACTAATAGCTCCACACCTGTTTCATAATGGGCGGAGTCAGGCTGTTAATTGGTGTCTTCAATATTGGCGCCTTTCCTCATCACAGTCTCAAAAAGGACGCAGCCGTCTATGAGCGAAAGCACATGCTGAACGATGACTCCTGCTAATGGCGATCAGCGTGAACTACGCCCTTCAAAGCAGAGAACTTACGTGGAACTGATCGTCGAAGCATCTTATCCGCAGATCAAACTCGTCATTGACTTTGTAATGCTGTTTGATAGCTCCTTCTCTAAAATCACTGGATATTGATCAGATAAGAATTGTGATATTTATTAATTAATTTATTTACTTGCGAGATAGCAGCATAGAAACCCGTTTATTACTGCCTTTGAGGTAACCCACAAGTTCCGCAGGTCCTACAAAGTCTACGGAAAACGCGGCATCCAATTCGGCATCATTAAAAGAGCAATTCAGAGGAAAACTGCCGTGAATAACGCCAGCCTCTTCAGAGTGACTTCTGCCATTTGTTACCCATAATACTTCACTAGGAAGTGCGACTTTTTCTGACCATTTCTCCAACTGACGTTTTTCAAAAGAGGCTAGTCACATGGCCCGAAAGATTGACTTCTTAGTTTTTCCAAAGCACTTTGCCCTGGGGTTACTGTACCACTGCCATCAGTCGACAGCGACAACTTGAGTGGGGCATTTGGATGGAGGAAAAGGAAAGCATGGCTCATCAGCTCGCTTCATCCAAGACCTTATCTCTTGGTGATATATAGCAGTATAAAGAAAAATCATTGAATAAAATGAACTGGCTGTTTTGAAAATCGAGCAAATGAAAAATATTGAGGGGGGGGGTGGTCAAAAGCAGAGGTACAGCTTCTCTTCCGCACATCCCCTTAGACGGAAGCCGAGCCGTTGAAAGCCTTAAAGCAGTCAGGAGCTATAAGTTTCGATAAGTAGGATCATTTGGAATGAAACTGAGGCTGAAACAAGGTAGAAGCACCAAGCTGGCCTCGCTCGTAATTTCCCATCGTCTATATCCATCATAGGGAACACTCACTTTCCCCATTCACCATCGACACATGCATTGAAACAAATCCTATTCTTATTGATATCGCATCGAATCGATAGTAGTCGGTTGTCAAGTACCTGAAATCAACAACGACAGTTTAAACAGTCCACAATGGTCATAAGGGCGGAGCCAAGCCTACACTGCCTCTTTTATTGAGCACCCTCCTTTCGAAGATCAAGAGCCTGCTGATGAGGAGGTGGCAGTAGTAAACCAGACTCATAAGGGATGTGCTTTCAAAAAACGCAAATGGACTACTACGGGAAAGAACTCACTTCTCCACCTTCTTCCGCTTCTACGATCGGACCAGACGTCAAATTAACTACGAATGAGTCGTTTCCTGAAAAAGACATGGACCGAAATGTAGTGGAAAAAAATAAAAAATCAATACATCTCATAAATCAATCGCTTTGTTTCGCTTGACCAAAGAAACATTCGGCGATAAGCTTACTCGGAATAATTGTTCACTCAGAGCAGCTAAAGGGGTCCCCACCCACAGGCACTGCGCCCTATTCGCCGTAGAAAGCGTGCAGGAATCGTCTCACACTTCAGCGACTTACGTCCAGCAGGCCCATGCCAAGCTGAGCTAATTCGCGCTGTCTATCGCCTCGCTTTTCCTTCTCTTCTCCCATCCTTCGTTTTAGCCCTATTGAACTGGAAAGCTTATGTGCGGCTCATTGTAAAAATTCCTGCTAGAGTTTGTTCGATACGGTAGCAAAGGATGAGAACATGAGCCAAGCGACTCGTCTCCGGCAGCACGAGAGCACCTAAGCGGAGCCATATGGAGGGCAAATCTGCTAGGACACACCTTCTACGAACGACAACTAGGAAGGCTTGCTTATGATGTTGAGTCGGTGCGGGTGCAGCTGTTTTATCAAACCACTCCTGGCAATGAACGGCGACCAACTACGTACCATTCGACAGAGTAAAATGTAGCCTACGTAACGGCATAGAAATACCGGAGTTATCATGAATGCGCAGACAACACTTCATCTGCAGTTCGATGCAGCAGATTAACATCGTGCGTGGTCATTTACAGTCGTACTGATCGCTAAACTGAAGTGACGGGTCGTTCTTCCACTTGCGAATTTTTTTGGTAATGCAATTTTTCAAACTTCATGCGCCTAAGATCTCCTCCTTAGTCGCGCATCACAATTTTACTCATTTGAATCATACTATTCGGAATAGTATCCCATCCTCTGTTGGCGAAAAATTTTGAAAATGAGTATGAGATGCCGGGTAGATGTGAGAGGGGAGTGGAACGGAGCCAGTTTAGGGCTGTCGTCTTCCATGGAATTCTCCCAACCACCAGGACCTCCTATCTGCAGTCCGCGCCAAAGACCTTTTCAACAGAGGCGCGACATCGATATGTTAATTGCTGGGCGCTGATACGTGCGATTGTGATAGAAAGTTTCATTTCTCGGATTCCCATGCGTGCTATCGATTGCAACTTAACAGTAAACATGGAATATGTTTCACATTAATATGATTGATTGAATTCTACACTGTGATGGAACATCGCTGACGAATTTCATGATAGTTAATTTCATTGGCATGATATCGCTGAGAAGCAATAGTTCTAAGTGGATTGTCCGCACCTGATTGTCCAGAAGGGAGTACGGAAAAGAGACCATCAGATTTATGTTGCTCGCACAACCATCAGGACCCTTTCAGACGAAGCCTTACGCTGGAAACTTTTGAGAACGCCTCAAATAGGGCCCTGTCAGACCTCAAAAGGAAGCTAAGATATCTTAGGATTCCGGATCGATACCACTTGAAAAAATGAGAGATTATACAAGCGAGCAAGCATGGAGACATCAATGCCTCCAGAGGGAGTCCATTTCCATCAGGAGGAGCCACTCGTGCAACCTTGCTCCTTAGCGCATCTACCTTACAATTTTCTGACAAGAAACTAGTACTGATTGCTAATCGCGGCCCACACCATCTTTCCGATCCAATCAAATTCTATAAGCGATCGCAAAATGTGTCTTTAAGTCCTAGTCCACAGCTGATCTCGTTAGATCTGATGTGACACAATGGTTTGTCCTTTTATGTGATTAAATTATCTCAGAGGTTTAGCGTATGATTCCTGGGCCACCAGCGCGGCTTCTAACCCTTCAGGCTATATATGATGCGAGTCCAGCGAACTGTTAGCCAAGAAGCACTGAATGGAATGGGCATAGCGCTACAGAGCAAAGATCAACACATCCCTACATTCCTTGAGCGCTGTTCCGGCTAAGGCTAGGCGGGGGGGGGGGGTTGCACTTCCGCCTAACAGGACCAAACTTTATGGGACCTGTCAAGAAAGCAGCGAAATGTTACAAATGAGCCTTGTCAGTCAGAGGAATTTGCTGTTTTCACAAGGTGGACTGTACAAGCTTCGCTGACTGCCATTTTTGGTGTCCCCACCAAGCCCAACTGCGCCTGTTCCTCCTCCTCCACTTAGGCCCTTCGGTTCAGCCTCAAGCCCGCAATAAGCTTTGGAAGCGTGACGATCGCGCTAGCCAGACAACTTCTTGCACTTTCGTGGCCGAGATCCACCAGGATAGGCGGTTTTTTGGTAGATCGGTGATGATTCCCAGACGTGTTGGAATTCCCCGTTAACTTTACGCCCGTCAACCCGGTGCTAAGTGAATGTGTAGCGATGCGTTCAGGTGTACGGTGATGATGGTGTTGCGAGAACCGGTTCACTACTAGTCATCAAGGCTGCCTTTCTTCTTCTACTCATTGGCTTATAGAACGGGGGGAACAAAAACGTATGAGCTGATTAGTGTTCAGACACGTCTACGCCACCGTAAGGTGTGATTGTCCCAAATGGGTTGTAAAGCAGTAAGAAGGGATTAGGGGTAAATGACGTGAAGGACAGCGCACGTCTAAGAAGGGTTTTGGATCCCTTAGACAGCTGACATACCTGTTATCACTCCTCTGACAATGAGTGATTGACCCGGTTGCAGTTGATTGCCTTCCAATCGTGACAGGTATGGAACGCCCTGAAAAACTTGTGATTTGGATTTACGATTTGGAAAGGGGAGCCAATCTGCTAGGGACACACCTTCCAACGAACGACAAACATAGAGAAGGGCTTGTTATGATGTTGAGTCGGTGTGGGTGCAGCTGTTATCAACCACTCCTGGCAATGAAGTGGTTGATAACAGCTGGCCTGGCCGGGTTCGAATCCCAGGTCGACACCCGCCCAGGCCAACCAAGCCTTCTACCCTCCGGGGACGTACCCTTCGACAGCAGGAAAAGGTAGGCTGATGTAACGGAGTTATACTGAGTGCTGCCGAGCAGCACTTATGCAGTTCTAATGCAGTCAGCTCACATTGTGCGTTGGGTAATTACAGATCAAATGAGTCGTACGTGATCGCTAGACTGAAGT